CATTTCCCCCCCCCCCCCCCAAAACATAATTTGCATGCAGTCCATCCAATTCAGTATGCTGTTAAGTAGTGTCTTGTCTGCCAAGCTGGTTGACTGGCAGGATATTGCGGTAGCCACTAACACAAGTCAGCTACACATGTAATCACTTCAAAGTGCAGTCACTAGACTTCTTCTTAGAATAGGATAAGGAGTTTTATATAAAAATGATAAGTTTTGAGGTGTATATAAAAAAAATATTTTTATTTTACTCGCAAACATTATATGTGCTGCTTTTAACCTTAAAATACTTCTTAAACTCTTAACATGGATCTTTAATGCTAACCCTTGCTTTTACTCAAGCCCAAACAAGTGCCTAAAATGAATTGATCTCCTACCATTGCACATCTCATGAGGAATGGGGCTTGTCTTCATGTTCTGGGCTGTGTATATACACCTTGACGCACACAGCTCAGCCTCTTGATGCTGCCTCCCAGCTTGTGACTTTGCTACAAAGTTACTCTGAATAATTACTGGGGTAGGGGAGATTGAAGAAATGCTTGCTTCTGAGTGTAGTAGACTGTTGACGTCCATGATTGCACCCTTCAGAAGAGGCACAATCACTTTTCCGGAGTTCAAGGACTGCTTTTTAATTCTAAAAAGTACCGCTGATTTTTTTCATATTGTGCTGTGAGGGATTTATTCTTTTAATGGTATTGATAGTTCCATTATAACACACGAAGCGCACACACACAGTACTGTGCAAAAGTTTTAAGTGCTTGTAAAACCGGATAACTTTTAAAAATGACATGAATATTTTTTTATTTATCTCTAAGCTTCCTAGAAAGTGCGGTAAACAGAAGACAGAAGACATGTCCAATGTTTTCATCAAACAAGGCAGCCATCTTCTGCGCTATCTCAAATAGACAATACATAGTCTCCTGGAAATCTCTTCCCATGTATTACATAATATTTTGGAAACATTGTATACATTCTGTAAAACCCCCAAATATATAAAATAAAGTTTTAAAAAAACCTATAAACTTAAAAAAGAATAAACAAAATTGACACAAACCTTTTTTTTTTTTTTTAAAGGGCCAGAGGTGTATTGAGGTCAGAGTTGGCCTTTAAAACTTAGTTTACGGCGATGTTAAATTTAGGGGCTTTATTGGTTTGAAGCCTAGAGGTGTCTTGGGGTCAGAGGCTGTATTTGAGGGTGCTTTAAAGGTCAGAGTCTTTAGTTTAGGGTGGTCTGTAGGTCAGAGGTTGTATTTAAGGAAGCTTAAATGGTCCGGTGCCTCAGTTTGGGGAATTTAAAGGTCTCTGTAACATATTGATCTAACAATCTCGTCACTTTTCAGAGCTTGTAAAGAGAGATTCTTGATAACTTGATAACATCTTAAAGGTTCTGTAATCCTAGCAATGGCATCCGTCATAGTATTATTATTACATTATACATATCCAGGGTCAGCTATTCTGCACTGATCTATCGCTCTATCTCTGTAAACAAGGGGGGGTTATCAAAACTGGAGCAGACAGAATCTGGAGCAGCTATGGAAGGCAACCAAACCGCTTTTATCTTTTTATTTTTCAAAACTTAATTGAACAAACTTAAGAGAAATGCTGACTGGTTACTTCTGTTTGTTCCCCCGAGTACTTTACTGCTCTTCTTGGATACGGCACAGCATTTGGACATACTGCAATCTATTTTTTAGTAAAGTTTGCAAATAAGGCAACTGAGTTCTCGCTAAATATGTATGTATGTGTATACACATACACAATGATATTCTCCGTTTAAACGTGTGTTCTTTTCATTTGATTTTCAGATTCAGAGTCACTAAAGTGGAGCCAAAGTCCAAAGAACGGAAGCGTTTAATGTCTGGGACAGAAGCATCAAAGGGTGACGTTCCTGCCACACCAGTGAGTGTAGATACTCGGCAAAGAAGTGGCACAGAAACAGAGGTGAGCAGACCTTAGTGCTGCTTCTGTGTGAAGAATAGATTGCCATGGCATGGGTTCTTCACTTTCAAAAAGCGAGGATACACTAGTTGAATATAATATAATATTAATATAT